GAAGCTTGTATGCGAAAGTTACGAATTTAAGAGATAATATCTATGTAAAGAATCGATTCTTTTAGAAATTTAAGCGATATCTAAAGAATCGATTCTGGAGTGGAGTTTGATCATAGTTAAGCGAAATGGTAACTTAAATAGTACAATGTAAAGAGATAATATCTATGTAAGTTTGTAATATTTGCAAGAAATTTAAGTTGAATGTTTATTCTTTTAGAAATAGTAAAAGTGTAAAAATACAATGTGTTTGCTAAAACTTTTGCGTTCCACGAATGAAAAACAAAGAGCACGCAGGTTGCAATTCGTATCTTAAGTAATTCAAACAGAAAATGTTTGTCTTTGATCTAAAAAATATTAAAAATGATGGTTACAAAAGAAAATATTGTCTTTCAACTAAAGGCAAAAATATCAATCTCATGATAGATTAATACCTTTGGCCATATAACACCATGACTACGATGTCTAAAAATGAAAGTATTGATTTCATTTCAACCTCATTCTCAATTTTCTTCTATAATTACCCCTCATCTGGTCCAAAAGACTCGAAATACACATACAACTGTCCAAAGGATACACTTAGCGAATTAGTAACATCATCAAGTAAAGGTTTCACAACCAACAACAATCAAGTAAATTTATCATGATTAAGCAAAGAGCCAAAGACATAAGATATGTAATTAAATTAGTACCTACTAAATATTTTGGCTATTAGAACGTATATGTGTGTAGATCTAGCAATGGAGATAAAGGTAATTTTACATTCCAATGAGTTATTGGTTACCTACGTTTGAAATTATTGAGCCTATATATCAATGACTTCACCAACAAGCATCGTAACTTTATATAGTGGAGCAATAATCGGGTAAAAAGTATCAGAAATCAAAGATGCCAAAGTAATCTTATTATAATAAATGGAAAATGAAAATTAATTGTTACAAAATGGAGCAACTGTACAACAACATATCATTCTTTCTTTATAATCTTGCCATCATAAATTTGGTTGCTTTGGTCATATTATATGTAGTTATCAGATAGAATAATCTTAACCAATAATGATTTATATGAACACTTACTAACTAAATTCCATGTACTCTCTTTTAGACGATATATAACAAATGAATTATATGAAATGCAATGAGAAAACCTTGGGTTCCAATAAGGTCTTACCTTTGTATAACAGTATAATAGACAAAACAAATCCTTAATCGAACTACCATAGGCACACATAGGGGTTAAACATATTGAATTTGTTGACTTCCTCCCATATGTCTGAATTCTGAAATCTTTGCATACAATGGAAAATAAAAAATGAGAGTCACAAAAATTCTAATTTAAAATTTTCAAGCATATAATAGATTATAAAAAAAAAAAAATTAAACCTCATGACTATCACAAAATTTTGAAGTCCTTGGTCAGATCGCTAGAAAAACATAAATATATAGCCGCTCACCTTTTCAACAACGTGAATGGCTTATCTATAAGATGGATGACTTCTTTAAGGTTTTGAAGTTCGCTGCTTGCTATAAAAGATGGAGGAGAGTTTTTGTTGAAAATAAATGCAATTGCGGAAATCCAAATAGATTATCAAATTTTAAGACCAAGCGGAAGGTTGGAGAAGCTACCCTAATTTCAACAAAGAATCGGTTGAAATGAACATACCATGAACTTAGACATGATTTGAAATTTTGAATGTGTACTTCTTCCTGGAAAAAGAGAAACACCAACTCAATAATGGAAAAAATAGGAAAAAGAAATTAGTTAAAAATCTCACTTGGATAGCCCCTTCAACCTAAACAATATCATCTACAAAACAAAGGCATGTATGACAAAAATCGATATTGACATTTTCACAAGCACTTGGGGTACATTCAGTGGGGGTAGAGGAGAAATGGAGAATGCCACAAAGTCTACCATGTTTCCATACAAAATTATCATTTATTATGAGAAAGTCATGAAAATGTCTCTTGATAAGAAATTAGGTTAATTCAGAGTTCGGCCTTAACTTTTCCCCAATAATGCAAACAAGGAAACAGAAAAATAAGAATTGAATACGATGGAATAAGAACCTGAATAAGAAGAATTCGTGAATAAAAAATTGGCAACGCGAAATCAATAAATGATAAGTGTTGATATCAATAGTTGAAACCCAAGGTGCCAAAAAACCAAACCACCGCCACTACCCACGGCCTAAACTACCAACCATATGGACGCCTTTCATGACATTAGTTGTCTTACGGAAGATTATACAAATATAGAGAGAGATAAAGAGAAAACATAAAGTATATGAGCATCAATATGAAGCTATTTAATTTCAGTCGGTGTATAGAGAAAAACGCATCGCAGAGGATTGGGCGACTCAACCAACAATCATTGAAAATGGGCAACTAGCAAGGCCATCAGCAGAAAGTTGCAAGGCTAGGAGAAAAATCCACAATGAAGTCTATTGAATCACACTGGGTGAAGGTTATCTGTCAAGCAATTTGTTTCAAAGATTGGAGAAGAAGGAAACAACTCGTATTGGTTTAAAGGGAGGCAAGCTGACGTGGCTTCAAAACTCAAACACTTACACCAGTAAGCAACAAAAACCTATATAAGTAAAAGAATAGGCGGCATGAGCAAATCCATTGAAGGATCATGTGTAAGCATGAAGCAGGCAGCCAAGCAAGTAATAAAAGATGATGGAGGCCATGACGGAAGAAGATTGGAAAGGGGTGTACGCTTCAACGGGAAGCTGCTTACCACTATACGTTAACACCCTGTTCCCGAGTTGTAGCAGAGAAAAGAAGAGAAGAGAAAAGAAAGTAAGGAGAGAAAAGAAGAGAAGAGAAAGGAAAAGAAATTTGTGTTTTGTGTTCCCGAATTGGAGAGAAATGGAAGGAAAGTTAAACATTTTGTTCTTTCTCTCCAAATCCTTCCAAATCGGAAGGAAAGTTAGGAGGGAAAGTGATCTCTCCATTTCCTTCCACTTCCCTCCTTTAATGAAACTCGGGAACACCAATTTCTCTTACTTTCCTCCCACTTCCACCCATTTCCTTTCTTTTCTCTCTTTAAATTGAACTCGGGAACGGGGTGTAAAAGTGCCCGCCCATAACCTTTTTTACTGGAGGAGTGAAGTAGCTCATTGACGTGTAGTCAAAAAAATTTCTTTAACATATACGTAATGATATATATATATATATATATATATATATATATATATATATAGTCAAGATCAAATAAGAAGGAAATTTTTGGTAGGAAGGTAAGAAGTTTTTTTCCTACATATTTTTTTCGCGAACAAACAAAATGAATCATTAGATGATTCATTTGTAAGATGATTCATAAGAAAAAATTTCAAAAAAACATCTTGATGATTTATTTATACAATGATTTTGTTTTTATTTACTATAATTGTCATAAAAGTGAATTTTTTCTTAATTTACTTAAAAATGAATCATAAATATGTTTTTTTGGGAATTTTTTCTTGTAAATCATCTTACAGAAGAATCATCTAGTGATTTATTTATTTTGTTCGTCAAAAAAATATGTAGAAAAAAAACTTCTTACCTTCCTACCAAAAATTTTTTTCTTACCGGATCTATATCCTATATATATATATATATATATATATATATATATATATATATATATATATATATATATATATATATATATATATATATATATATATATATATATATATATATATACTAGCAGCGTACCCGCGCAAAGCGGCGGGGTGTGTAAATTCTTTCGGTGATATGTTTCCTCTACAAAAATGTTATGTTACAAAAGAAAGTACATGTCGAAAACAAAATAATCAAACTATAGTGTTATTTGGGAAATGAAGTTATTTTCTGTTCCTAGACGGTGAGCTTTATAGCAGATGAGGGAACAAAGAGGTATATGCGATTGGAGGGATATTTGAATCAACATGCTAAATTTATGGATATCTAAAAGGGTTCAAAATTTGAATGAATCCGGGATTTGAGGGAACAATATCAAATTGCTGAGAAATATAAGGAGATTTGATGATAAATATTTGAATTCAAAATGTGGTTAAGATTTAATATTATTTTATTAATGTTTATTTGTACTATCAGTTTCATTATTTGGACGTCTTAAAAAAATATTATTATTATAATCAATCTATTTTTAGAAATAGTTAGATTTCTTTTATAAGATAGTATATATATATATATATATATATATATATATATATATATATATATATATATATATATATATATATATATATATATATATATATATATATATATATATATATATACCCAAAGAAGTTTTTACACATTGTTAATTATACACAGAAGTTTAATATGTAGAGAAAGACATAATGATTCTAAATACTTATAAATATATTATTAAGAGACTTAAAAACATTTGAGAAAAAAACTTTATTTTAGCCATATAATATTCTAAAAGCAAGCTTGTTACTCCGATAGAACGAAACATATTCATATTTTATACCAAATCCAGTTCGTGTTTCCGTGTAATTTAGATCTGATTCAAAATACATTCAAATGCAATTCACATCAAGACTCCGATCTGCGCGAGCTACAAAGTTCATTTAACGATCAAGGCTTTGTAAGCGATCTCCTCTACATCTTCATTTGTATCGTTATTATTCAATCGATCGTATATGTTCGTCTTTTATGAAATCTGATACAATACGCAGTTTTACTCAATTCAAGAATAATGTCGAGCTAATCTCGAATCCTTTCTGGGTGATCTGAATCTTAATCAATGTGTTTACAGATCAAACAGAGCTCATAACTGAAAAACAATAAAATGGGGCGAAAAACGCCCTTAAAACCGATTCATCAATCATCAATTTGTTAAGATCTTTGAATCAGTGGATCCTGTAACTCGTAGTTGTTTTTGCAGAAACCTAATGCTTTCGAATTGGTAAACAGGGAACATTCTTGGAGTCTGCTGAAGCTTCAACACCGACTATTTTCTGAGTAACTCTTAATCTCAGATTTCAATCCATTTGATCGAACATGGATCATGGGTTTCTTCACTATCCATGTCCAAAACAAACCACAAGATTGATTTGGGTATTCGGAATCTCATTGGTTGTTGTATTGACTCTTCAATATTCCGAACTTCCAATATTCAACAGCATATCACTTCTACTTTCTAGTGCTAAGGCCTCCTTTGTTCGAGAAAGTTATTTCTCAAATGCAAACAACACAAGTTTCATGCAACAAGACTTAAAAGATTCGTATTCAGGTGTTAACGGATCTTCCCCCAAAAATTCCACAGAGGAAAGAGAAAAAACTGCCCAAAATGGAGATCTGAAAAAGCCCAAAATGGAGACTTTACCAGTAATGTCAATTTCCCAGATGAATGAAGAGCTAAAGAAAAGTCGTTCTTCCCTTTATTCAGTCGTATGTATATGACTTCATATGCTGATTTGGTTAGTCAAGTTGAACATACATGAAAATGTTGTGTTTTACATTCACATTCTTGATTATCTTTTGTATTTTTTTCATTATAGACATCTCAAGTTTCATCATTGGTTGATCAACAACTACTTGAAGCAAAATCACAAATTGAAAATGCCGCCTTCACTAGCAATGATTCGGGACTTTACGCCCCTATTTATCGGAATATTTCCATGTTTAAAAGGTATCTTTATAACATCTAGTTATATACCTTCTCTTTCTAATAATTTAAGGACTTTTTCTTTTTGACTTAATGGGCTTAATGAGTTAAAAACCTTACCTAGACAACTATACATGGCTCTTTCTTTTTTATTTAATCTGAAGTAATAGACTTAATGTGTTAAGACACTAAGAGTGTGTTTGGTTGCAGAAAATTTTCTAGTTTTCCATTAAAATTTGCAAATGAAAATGAAAGTTTTGAAAACGCGTTTGGTTGATTCAGTTTTCAAGATATTTCGAAGAAAATGAAAATTTTTTGTTTTCCAAATTGTATGTAAACTAGAAAAGTGAATTTCACAGTTTTCCAGAGTTCTCTAAATTTGTAAGAAGGAAAATGAAAACTCCACCATTTCCAATCAAACGTGTTTTCTAAAATTTTCATTTCAAACTGAAATTGAAAACTCAACTCTATTTTCTGAAAACATTTCCTAGAAAAACGAAAACAATTTTCTACAACCAAACATACCCTAACCCTTTACCTATTTTTCATTCTTCGTTTTTCCATTTTCGCTAAAATTGCCGAATAACGTGAAATTTGTTTTTTTCGAATGTAAGGGTAGAATGCTCATTTAATCTCATTCAGACGGTTTATTCAGTCCAAAAAAGAAAGAAAGAAAGAAAAGAAACAGGCCTTATGTATACAACACTTTATCATAAACATACATCATTAATTACCCATTCACCCATTTTACGTATACATGACATAATGAGAAAAAAAGAAACAACTCATTAGTGAGACTATTTATAAAAAAAGATCTTATTGCAGGAGTTATGAAATAATGAACCGAATGCTCAAAGTGTACATCTACAAAGATGGAGAAAAGCCGATTTTCCATGATTGGATACTTGAGGGAATATATTCATCTGAGGGTTGGTTTTTGAAACTGATGGAAGAAAATAAACAATTTGTAACAGAAGACCCGAATGAAGCTCATTTATTCTACATACCCTTTAGTTCCCGATTGCTTGAGTTAACACTTTATGTTCCTCATTCACACAGTCGTGAGAATCTGATTCAGTTCATGAAGAACCACACTGAAATGCTTATAAGTAAATATCCATTTTGGAATAGAAGGAATGGATCAGATCATTTTCTGACTGGTTGCCATGATTGGGTATACTCTTCTTACTATATCTAGTTTCTTTTTATAGAAAGGTTCACTGTTTTTACTTAATTTCTGCCAAAGGTTTATTCTTTTGCAACCCCTGGAGAACTCCCACATTATGGCTGCATTGCCAGGGTTATTTTAGTCATTTGAACTGGCGGTCAAGCCGGTAGAAAATTGAAATGATTTCTATCTTTTTGTTGCCTTGTTACCCTTTTTGTAAAATTTCCAATCCTAGCTAAAACTACATGCTTGGTGGTTGCCAGGACCAGGGGTATTTTAGTCATTTTAACTAATGATTTCGTATTTCCACAGGCCCCAGCGGAAACAAGGGGACGTTTACTCAACACTATAAGAGCCCTTTGCAATGCCGACATTCGAACAGGTTTCAAAATAGGCAAAGACGTTTCACTTCCAACAACATACGTAAGATCCTCAAAAAATCCTCTGAAAGACATAGGAGGCAACCCTCCAACACAACGACCAATTCTAGCCTTTTTTGCGGGTCATATGCACGGATATGTCCGACCCGTTTTATTAAATCATTGGGGAAACGATACAGACATGAGAATATTCGCCCGAATGCCTCATGTTAAAGGCAACAAAAACTACATCGACCACATGAAAAGTAGCAAATACTGTATTTGTGCTCGAGGATTTGCGGTTCATAGCCCGAGAGTTGTGGAGTCGTTAATTTACGATTGTGTCCCTGTGATTATATCGGATAATTACGTGCCTCCGTTTTTTGAGGTTTTGAATTGGGAATCGTTTGCGGTTTTTGTGTTGGAGAAGGATATTGTGAATTTGAAGAAGGTGTTGCTTTCGATTTCTGAAGAGAAGTATGTTGAGATGTATGAGAGAGTGAAGAAGGTTAAGGAGCAGTTTTTTTGGCATTCGGAGCCTGTTAAGTATGATTTGTTTCATATGATTCTTCATTCTGTGTGGTATAATAGAGTTTTAAGAATGTAAGGGATATGAGAGCTAGTAATATGTTGGATTTGTGATAATATTGCAAGTTCTGGTTTGTTGTATGATTATAAGAAAGTTGATAACAAAATGGTTATACTTTTTACCGTTTTAAGAAAATTATTTTGGAAGAAAGATTCTTCGAAACAGTTTGAGAAATTTTAACTTGTTAAATCAAGCCCTTATGCACTCGAGTTGAACGATTTGAAATGATGTGGCAAGTTGTATACATTTTAATTTTATAATAATAATAATAATAATTGTTATATATGACCTACACCATTCACCCAATTCGTTAGGGCCTATTTAGTAAAACTACCTGTAAAATGTAGTTTTTATTTGATATATAAGTGTTTGATAAAAATAGTAGAAACTTTTTGAAATATGTAATTACATGAAGTAGTTTTTAAATCTGAAAAACTACAAATTGAATGAGGTGATGCCATTTAAAATGGTAAATGAAGTGTTAGGGTCAACTTTCCAAAGTACAATCCCCTTTTTACTTGAAAAGCCGCAAATTGGATGACATGCAGGAAAACATGCTCATGTTTTTCCCATGGTAAATAAAATGCAACTTGTTTTTAGTCTTTCTCATCATAGTACTAGGTTTTCATTATTTTGATCAATTTGATCTCTTATCAACTCCATTACCCTTGTAATATGATTTGGGAAGTGAATTTTAACATTAAAAAGAGTTATAAAAGTTATTATTCTTAAGATGGGTATATACGGGGCTATCTTAGGTCTAATTGCCTAATTAACTTTGGCTTTAAGTGACAATTAAGCACTCAAACACTTATGTTAGTGATAGAGAAGATCTACGCTTTTTGATGTTAGTTCATTACCTAATAACAAATATCCTTTAATATATATGATTTATCCTATGAATCTTTTGAATATTTTTATAATATTTCATACATGTCCTATAATACTATACGTAAAATGTGTTGCACTCATGGATATACTAAAATGAGTTTCCAGTGGGTGGAAATTACTTACTTCTTTGGTTTTGAAATCATGATTATGTGCATCTATAATAGGATGGGTTGGAGGCTTATGTGATATGCAGTCACTATGAGTTGGGTTTATGGACTCGATCATATTTCATATTTGACTTGTGAGTGGCGTAAACAATATTCTAGACAACCATCACTTTGGGAGGGGCCTTGGAAACTTTGTCTAAGGTTTTATGTTTGGTGATTGTATTTTACCTAAACCAAGATGTATTCTTGCAACCTCTACACTAGGTTGAAACTATGCACATGCCAACACTATGTTGTGTTACAATCTTTCTCCGCTGGTTTACCTTCAAAACTCCTTTAGTATAGAAATTTGGTATGGAAATAAGCCTTTTGTGAGAGTAGGGATCTTGGGGATTAGGATTACTTTCATGTATTGCATTCAAAATACTACATTGTTATTTTATCAAACTTGAACCTTTAACAACTATTAAAAGGAATTTTCAAGTGGTCATTACAAATAACACATGCAAGGGGTGCTTTACAAGAATATCATGAGCATACTTGGTCTGGTTTAGAAAGAGCCATTATCGGTGTAAAGATTATTCTAGGTCTGAAAAGTAACTTTGTTAACAAAGATCTTTGATTATAAATTCATGATAAAGGTGCAAGATGAACTTTTAGATTAGTGGTTCATTATTCATAGTAATGGTTATGTCATCAACAAAAATGAATAGGTAAAACAAGAAATAGTTTGCCTTAAAAACAAATAATGTTGGGTCGACTTGACTACAAAAGAAGCCAAGAATGGTGAGAAAATCACTAAGATGCTTAAACCAAGAATGTAGGGCTTGTTCGAGAGAGTATAATTTCTTTTTATATGAAAAACATGCTTAGGTAGACATTTATCAATAAAAGTTTGATGCTTCTCCATAAACACAATTTTGGTTAGATGTCCAAGAAAGAATGCATTGTTGACATGTAGTTGATGAAGATGCCATTTATTCATGACTATGAGGGAAAGTACAATACAAATCGTAGATACATTAACAACAGATGTAAAGGTATGAGAATAGTCCAAGGGGGAACATGTGAATCCATAGGCAACAAGGTGTGCTTGTTTTGTATTTACTTATCTAATCTTTTGATGAAATTGTTACAACTACGTATTGGTGAACTATTTTGAAACATAACAATTGGGACCTTATATGTACTTCGAACATTTAACAACTACAAAATGTATTTACACCCATTTGAGAACAATGATGTTTAAAGAGTATGCTCATGAAACGAGGGTCTAAGTCTATTTGGCCTATAAGGCATTAATATATTCCACCATATCTGTGAGCCATAAAGGATTTTTGGCAGTTGACTCGGAGCCTTTTATGCCCATTGTGGAAAAAAGAGCAACATGGAGACCATTTTTGTTAACAAAATGTCGTAGTTTAGAAATATTGGTACAATGTATCGTAGTCATATGATTAACCAAGATCCAATTGGATAGGGTCATCATGGAGTCTGCATAGAGGTTGTAGTTAGCAATAACAATGTTAGGTATATGGAAACACAATTTTTTTTTTTTGTTATGTATCACCCTATTAAACCTCCTAATTAATACACATTTTATTCTTTTTTTTGTCATGTATCACCCTATTAAACCTCTTAATTAATGCATACCACTTGTCAACTTATTAATTATCTATTTCAAATTTTAAAATTTTCACTTTAATTACAATAAATTTATTAACAATGCAATAAAACTTAAAATAAAATTAATACAAATTATAAGGTGATATAATTTCACATATTTATTTAAATTAACGATTATAATTGATTAATAATTTTGTGTTCTAACTATAAAAGTTTAATTAATTTTGTAACCGTGGTTTCACGGATTATAAACTAGTATATATAATAAAAGAATATGTTTATTCACATTTTGCCATGTGATATTCTATAAGACCTCCTAATTAATTTCATGTCACTTGTCAACCTATTGATTCTCCATTTCAAATTTCAAATTTTAAATTTTCCCACACTAATTACATTAAATTAATAACATTAGAATAAAAATTAAAAGAAATTTAATACATATTATAAGGTCACGTATTTGTTTAAATTAACGATTATAATTTTATATAACTAAAACATATTTTTTAATTAATAATTTATTTTAATTAATTAATTAATAATTTTAAAATTTTAGTATGAATATTTAATTAGTTTTATAATCGTGGTTCTCACGGATTAATAATATATATATATATATATATATATATATATATATATATATATATATATATATATATATATATATATATATATATATATATATATATATAGAGAGAGAGAGAGAGAGAGAGAGAGGTAGGTTCAAATGTTTTTCACATCTATTGTGTGCTAGAATGCACTAATAGGAATTTAGTATTAATTATGTGTATATTAAATGCTATCCATACTTATAACTTATTTTTATGGAAACTAATTAAATTCGTTATTAATGTCAACAATAATATTATTTCAGAATGAATTCATATATCTAGAAGAATGAGTGTGTATTCCAGCAGAATGAGAGTATATTCTAGTAGAATACACTCTTGTTCTTCATATTTTATGCAAATTTATTGTATATTAAGCGAGTGGGTCATGAAACAAAATACGAACTCATATATAAACACCTAGATACGAATTTATTCTAAAAGAATGTTATTGTTGAAATTAATGATGGATTTAATTAGTTTCTATAAAAACAAAATTATAATTATGGATATCATTTAATATACATATAATTATGGAATTAATTTAATATATATATTTATTTAATTAAATAATTATTTAATTTACAAAATTCATATTGTGCATTCTAACACACAATAAATGTAAGAAACAAAATAACCTAGCCCTATATATATATATATATATATATATATATATATATATATATATATATATATATATATATATATATATATATATATATATATATATATATATATATATATATATACACACACACGATGTGTGTAAAAACATGCAAAATTTATTTTGACATATTCACTTAAGGTTTACAAATTTGTCAAAAAAAAAAAAAAAAAAAAAAAAACTTTGTAAAGACAGTTGGGCCAAAAAGATGTTAAAAGATTTAATTAATTTTATAAAATAAGTTCTATGGATCTTGCAAAACTAACCGTCTCCAAATTTGATGAGGCTTCCCATTTAGACCCATTGTCCGCTCCTCCAAAATCTAGTGGTGAACATTCCGAGGTCGCGGTTTCTTTACCACCATAATTTTCCACTTAATTCTATAGGGGGTAGGGGCATCCCAAACAGGAGAACAAATAGGCTTTACTATTCCGACATAAAGAAGATTAAGACAGTGGTCTTCGGTATGACTCAACATTAGTTTTTTTTTTTTTTTTTGGTAGATGGGTCAACCAGAAGAGAGATGTAGCAGTAAATGCTTTTGGTAGGCTTTAATTTTTAATGTTTATTATCATCAGATCAGATGGGTAGGGGCGCAACACCACGATCAACAATTACGTATCCTTGGGTTGTCCCATGATTCTACCATATGTTTCCAGCTATTTCAATTCAGTGATAACAAATAAAAAAAACAAAAGTTGAAACAATGTTTCCATCACTACAAATTATAGAGAAATATTCTTGTTCCATAACGTAACAATGTTTCTATCACTACATATACTAGAGAAATATGGAGGGTGTAAGAGAAGTAATTGAAATTTTTTGGTTGGTTGGAAATTACATTTTGAAGGTTGAGTATGAAGGGTTTAAAAGCTTGAGTATGAAGGGTTTAAAAGTAGTTGGAATTGTGAAGGTTAAAGTATAGTGTTAGTATTTATATTAGTTAAAAGTGTGTAAATTTTTTATTTTATTATTTGAAAAGAACAGATAGTTTTTTTTATTCGAAATGGAAAAAAGTATTTTTTTTTTTCTTTCCTCATCAAACCGATGTTGTTACGAGATGTCGAGCTTGGCATGGTGTGGTGTTTGTCGCAGCCACCTCCACAACGTCGAGGCCATGCTGAGGCTGCACCCTAATCCTAGTTTGCCTAGTTTCAATGAAAAAGATCGAATTTATTTACAACATTTTGTGGACCATGAATAAATGTGTGTTAAATCAATTCTCAAAAATGGATTTTTTTTTTCTTATATTTTAATACAAATTTCAAACCATAAACATTATTAAATGATTAATTAGACAATTATATATTTGTG